GTATCACATAACTCACCTACTATACTGCACACTTGTTTTCAGAAAGAATAGCTGTACCCAAGAATAACTACATGAATTAAGCAAGAACTTAAAGAAAATTTAATCCCTTTAAACTGAAACAGTACACCAAATAAGCACATCTATCAAACCTCAACTACAAGAATTAAACATCAGGCTCTAATGATAGCTACAAAAAACCCCCACAACAATTCCCAACAAAGGAACTATATATTTTCTCCAAAACCATTTGAGTTCAATACCATTTCCTTACTTTTATCCTTTAAATAGAATTTATAATTGTTATATAATAGCAGTGTTCTAGAAATAATCTAAATAATTTTTATAAATTATATAGTTAACTCTTTGTATATAGAAGGGGTCGCGGTACTAGAGATATTGTAGCTGATGTTAGATGGATCTTGGCTGAAAGCAGGGAATACCAGAGGAATGTCTATCTGTGTTTCATTGACTATGCAAAGGCATCTGACTGTGTAGATCATAGCAAACTATGGCTGATTCTGAGAAGAATGGGAATCCCAGAACACTTGACCGTTCTAATGTGAAACTTATACTTGGACCAGGAGGCAGTCGTCAGAACAGAGCAAGGGAACACTGCATGGTTCAAAATTGGGAAGGGCGTACGCCAGGGATGCATCCTATCTCCATACCTTTTCAACCTATATGCAGAACAGATTATCCGGGAGGCTGGGCTCTATGAGGAGAAATGTGGGGTCAGGATTGGTGGACGATTTATCAACAACCTGCGTTATGCAGATGACACTACCCTGCTTGCTGAAACTGAAGAGAACCTGAAGCGCCTGCTGCAGAGTGTCAAGGACTGAAGCCTACAATATGGATTGAGGCTCAATGTCAAGAAGACAAAGATTCTCACCACTGGACCAACTGGTAGCATCAGGATGGATGGTGAAGAGATTGAGATTGTACACAGCTTTAGTTTGCTTGGCTCTGTAGTCTACAGTCTTGGCACCAGTAGCCAGGAAATTAAAAGGTGCACTGCCATGGGAAAGTTTGCTGTTAGGGACCTCTCCAAAGTGCTGAAGAGCAGTGGTGTCTCTCTGGAGACTAAGGTGCGTCTGATACAGGCTTTGGTCTTCCCAATCGCTTGTAATGCATCAGAGAGTTGGACAATGACCAAGGAGGATAGAAAGAGAATTGATGCCTTTGAGCTGCGGTGCTGGAGAAGAATATTGAGAATACCATGGACTGCTAGGAAAACAAACAGATTCATCCTGGAAAGGATTAAACCAAGCGACTCCTTGGAGGCAAGGATTCTGAGGCTCCGTCTAACATACTTTGGACATGTTGTGAGGAGAGACTGGTCCTTGGAGAGGGACATCATGCTTGGGAGCGTGGAGGGATAGCGCAGGAGAGGAAGGCCCTCTATGAGGTGGATTGATTCAGTGACTGGGATAATTGGGATGAGAGTGTCAGAGACAGTGCGATTGGCACAGGACAGAGCGGAGTTTAGGGCTGTTGTACATAGGGTCGGTATGAGTCGCAATCGACTCGACGGCACATAACAACAACAACAACAACATAGTTAACTTATTAATTTATTTATTGATACAAATTATATATGGGACAATTTACTTTGTAATAGAAATATATTACAATTAATTGAGACAATTTATGAGTTCTTTTAAAAGGAACAGAAATACATGTGACTTCTAAATAGCAAGAGAGTGGGGACAATGATATGAATGATTCCAATCAAAGAAATCCATACCACTATATCTTTAAAAATAACTATACAATTTCAGTCAAAGGGGGAAATTTATGCAAGTTAGATAGTTCTATTTTCATTTTCACCTCTATTAGCATTATCTGGTATTTACAAAGTAGAAATTTAGAAGCTCATCTATCTTCAAGTCATTCTGTGTAGCTTTTCAATTCAACAGAACTCAACATAATGAACATTTATTAATACCTTCCTAAGAGCTAACCATTATGTCAAACAATGACTACGCAGGAACAAAACATTGGGAAACATATGACTTCAGCTACAGTAAAATAGCTTATATTGCCCTAATCTTCCAACTCTGAACCTACGGCCCTTAAATTAATTCTAATTCATAGTAAGTCTATCAGGAAAAAAGAGGATAGCCCTATAGGGCTTCCAAGGTAGGAAACTGTGGTGGAAGTGGACTGCTGCATCTTTCTCTCAAAATTCAGCTGAAACATTGACCTTGTTAGGCGGGACCACTTTTTATTATTATTAAATTTTATTAATTTTAATGAACATTTACAGAGATTTTGGGTTTTCATTCATTCATTGTTGCACTCTTTTCTCTACCCTCCTCCCCAGTTTGTTCTTCTTTCCCCACCCCCTTGTAAGTCTGTTTTAATTGTCCAGTTGCCACAGTGCTTGTCAAAGCCAGTTCTGATTAAAAGGAGGGACCACTTTTACCACCATGCCAATAAGGCCCCTTTCCAACTCCGAAAGCTGCACAAAATACACAAAGCACCTACTAGAAGGAATTAAAGAATGATTTAAAAAAAAAAGAATGATTAAGACTCTATAATCTCTGAAAAGGAGGAAGAATATGTGAGCTCCATATTCAGCCTTGCTTTTTCCTTAATTATGTAGGTCAATTTTTTACATGAGTTCAAGTCTGAAAATGGAAGTCTTACTGGGCGGGTAAGACAGAATTTGGAGTTTAGAAATGTAAAAGAAAATAAAATTTGAGGAAAAGACAAAATTTATTAAGAATCACTCAGTTTCCCCTATGTTACACATACTGGATTGTGTGGTGCCCACTCACCATCCCCTATGTGTTAGAATCCTACCCTCTATGTCTGTAATATAATTTAATGGAATAACTTTCTATAATATAGTATAAAGTAACAGACTGTAAAGGTAACCATTTCTGAGCAACAAAGACACACAAAGACACACATAAATACAGATTCCATATGAGAATCAACCAAGACCTTCTCTGACAGCACCCAATACAGAGCCAAGTTCTACATCCTTGAACTGTGTTGATCACCTAGTATGAGCACAAATCCTAGAACAAGTGCTTTCTAGCATATTCGTGCTGAAAGTCCCTACAGCTCTCCATTAAAATTTTTTTTTGTATCTTGCAACAAGTCAATAAACCCAATTCTATTCAACTACAGATGAGTTGCCTTCACAGTCACTGAAGGACTCTAACAAAAAGCAATGAAAAAGAATAACTATAGCTTCATGAAAACAACAGGGGTCAAACTCACAGACTTAAAGATGAATAAAGAAGCCAGACATTAAAAAGGTACACACTGTACAGAACTATTTATATGAAATTCAAAAATAGGCAAGATTAACTGATGGTGCTAGAACTCCACAAAGTAGCTACCTTTGGGGAACACGTCTGCAAGGAGACATGAGGGAGCCATCTGGGGTACGAGAAATAATCTGTGTCTTGTTCTCAGTACTGTCTTGTGTGTGTATACTAATGTAAAAACTCAGATATATATTTTGATATTTGAATGTTACTTCTAGACAAGTTAAACATATGTTTAAAATTATCCACTGGTACTTTCCTCAGTGAACCCACAATAATCTTTCCTGAGTATTTAATGAAGAATCTGAAGAGATTCTGAAAAACAAGAAATTCTTGTCCTTGTTTAGTTTTAGGAAGTTGCTACTATTTACAAATACAATATGCATATTATTTCACCAGTCATTCAAGCCTCAATTAACAGCTGAATAAATATTATTTATGCCAATACAATAGATTAACAAGTTTAAAAAATTTCTAAACAGCTTACTAATACAAAAGTATCTGTTAAATGAAATTTACATTGTTAGCTGTCTTCCAAAAAATCTTCCAAGTATCACTGAGCAAAATTTTCCTTGTATTATTAAAATACCCAAATAAATCTCTTTTGCACTGAAATTATATGAATAACAGTATTCTTATCTATATCTTATTGTCATCAAGTCAGAACCAAACTCATTTCACAGAATAATGTTCATCTTTTTCCCACAGAGTCACTGGTGAATTCAAACCCCAAAGGAGGTACATCCTTTGTATTATCAGTACAATTCCCTAAAATCAAGCTCACCAGAGCACCCTTATTAACTAAAACGTAAACTAATGATATAATTGTATATTTCATTATGGTAGTTATTAAATACTAAACATTATTTTAAATAATCATATAAATATGTATAAGGAGTTCATCTTTCAATATGACATCTCTTGCCCTGATTTGATGTTGCTATGCAATGGGTATGACTATGGGAAGGAGGTGTGTTGGCCTATTCACAAAGGGATTTGCTATCTACCATTCCATTGGGAAATTGGCCAGTTTCAACCACCTGCAAGGGGATTGGATAGTCTTGCCCATAAACTCAAGAGCATCTTCTCCTGTGCCAAAAGAAGAGAGAGATCTCCCCCAACAGTGTAAAATATAGGGCACAGTTCAAGATAACAGCAGCAGCCATGGCCAAACTGGAGACCGGATGTGAGATGGTGATGTGAGACTTTGGGGTGGGGTGGAGGGAAGCCAAGATTGGCAGAACTGAGAACTTTGTTGGACTACTCGAGGAAAACCAATACTGGCAGGATAGAAAACTTGAGAACACTTAGAGTCTTGAGACTATGGCGCCTATGTCCATACTCCCAGAGCTGTATTGATGGATGTATTCTGATATCAATCTGAATTACAACCTTTTCATTTCCCCAATATGGTTCGGTATGGTCTGTAAGCCATAACATTGGATTTTGGACCCACTAAACCAATAATATTGGTGTTGAGATGAATAGAAAGAGGTATGAGAGCATGGGGGCCGTATCTGACCTCATGGTATTTAGTTTTGTGTTATGGATACTGTTGACACGGATATTTTCCCTGTGAAGTTGATAAAAGGTCAGATATGTTGCTCCTGATACAGCCCTTGCTCTTTTTATCTGTAAAACAATTTTTTCATAATAAGAGTTCTGCATATATTATAACTAAATAAATATCTATAAAAGAGCAAAAGTGAAGCTCACCACTTCTTCATCTGAAAGTTCTCGCCCTTGGATACTGCTATTCTCTCTCACAGCTTGCTGGTGTTTTTTCCCTTTAATATGGCTAAAAAGATACACCTCTGACGAAATCTAAAAGCATAAGATTGCTTAAATTACAATGAAAATAAAACATGCAGAATTAATTAAGACTACTGGCACACTGTGACAAATGTCATTAGTCAATGAATAACTTGAGTAGAAATTATCAAATAAGAATCTAATTTGCTGTATAAACTTTCATTGATATTATTTTTTAAAATTAAAGTGTGATCAACTTAAAATTATATCTAATTTTCAATGCTACACATTAACCCAATATATTATATACAAGTTGCGATCACTTTAGTATTGAATTACAAGACTTAAAATGCTTTCTTTGGAATGCAACTCAGAATCCTCCAGAAGACAGATGGTCAAAAAAAGGTATATACCATCATAGCCTGTCTAACAAGGAATCATTTCCTCTTATTGGCTGAAGAACCAATAAAGAAAACTGCTTTGTTTTTTTGGTTTCTTATTAAAAAAAAAAGTTTACTAGGACTATCATTAAGCAGGTGTACTAAATTAGTACCAACTGCCATGCTAGGGCACTTTGAACTGTTGTTTTGTATCATCAAGTCGTAACTGACCCATAGCTGACCCTCCAATGGGTTTTCTGAGGCACTTAATTGAACAGAAGGAGATTGTCCATCCTTCTCCTGCAGAGCAGCTGGTGGATGCAAATCTTGCCTTTGGAGTTACAGTGCAGCTTCTTACCACTAAGCCACCAAAACTACTATTCCTAAGTGCCAACATATTTTAAATATGTTTCCCATGGTACCTGGCATTCAGGAGACGGCTTAGCATGAGTTTATAAGGACCAGGAGAACACATTTCTATGATTTAATGAAGTTTAGTAATCAATTTTATCAGTACAAAGTTGACAATGACAACCTACCAGGACACTGCAGAGAGAACACTGCTTCTTTCTTTCATAAGGGGTAAGTTTAGGAGCATAATCAGTATTTGCATGTCGTCCACTGCTTAACTCTGCAGCTTTCTCTTTTCTTTGTTCAATTTGTTCCATGTGCCTTCGAATGCTCTCATCATGCTACAGACAAAGTAAAAAAGTAATAATAAAATTATTCAGATTATGCTGAAAATTTGAAAAATGTGTTTTTTACTAAATTTTCTAAAATAATAGAGAAAATGCCATCTTATTTCAATGTCAAATTACCCACTGAAAACAAGAATTTATGTGAAGCCCCATTATATCCCCATATGCATAGTCAAGTTTCCTAAAATATGCTCCATGGAACTGTTGCATGAGACATTAATATTAATGGGTCTTTTGTGGAAGAGGTTCCATGGTGAAATAAATTTTTGAAAACACTAAGTTAAAGCTAAACAGGTTAAGAGAACTTTACAGAGCCTCTACTATGTCAACATGCCCTATGAGTCAAGAAACCAAACTTACATTAGAGCAGTATTTCACAAACTTATTTGACTACAATGTACTTTTGATAAACATTTCTTGGAGCAATATGGGAAATGTCAATCTGTAAGTAAAGCTCAAGATGATCCACATGGCAGAAAATACTCACTATACTGCAATCCTGCCTCGTCCATGATCCCCACTAAAGAAAATGCTATTTCACGCCTTTACTCTTGTGCTCATACATATGGCTAGAATATTATTCTACTCACCTATCCTTCCTTTGGCTAACTTCAAATTCTTCTTTAAAGGTTCAGCTGATGAATTAATCATTAAAATTAATTCCAAGATCTCTGGCACCCCTTATGTTATAAACTAAGTGCCTCTCTTTTGTGTTCCCATAAGACTGAATCAGACAGATTATAAAAAATACCTTTTAATAGTTTGCTGTGTTGCTGTGGTCCTCTCTGGTCTCTAGCTACTTTAACTGCAGGTACATGGTGGTCTTGCAAATTGCCACCAGCAGTGGGACTAGGATAAGAGAAAGAGTGCTTCCCACATTGGTCGGCAAGACTTGAGATGAGCAAGGCTTGTGGTGGCAAGATCCTGGTGCTGGAGAGACTGTGGTATTTCTGTGGTGAAATGATGGCAGGGACCTGCGGCTTTTTGCATTCGTGCTGGCCACAGAGGTTTAGCAATTCTTGCCAGATGTTTGAAGGAGAAGCTGACTTAAAACTGCTCTGAGGCAAACCTTGCTGCACGATTTGGATTTGACTGCTGAACTGAAACCAGAGCCTGGACATACTGAAAAATTGTGCTTTGGAACTAGCTGACTAAAACTTGCATTTGCATTGGGTGATATTCATTACCTCCCCCATTCTCCCACATACTTCCTAATACATACTTCTCTAATAAACCCCATTCTTGGTACCATAACTATGACTCTGTGAGTCAGCAATGAAGAAAAGAACCTCTTGCCGTTGGTGGGCATCACGGGGCTGGGCTCTGAGAAGGTGAAGGGCTATGCTATTCTCATTCTCTCTGACCCTTTCAGAGAGATGCTCATGGCCCTGTGCCCCAATGCCCTGTTTTCTGCTCTTTAGATAGCTGCTAACCAATAGAGTATCATTTTAATCCACCAGCAGCTCCACAAAAGAAAGATGAGCAGTGTCCTCCTGTCAAAATTCACAACATTGGAAAACTGATAGAGAGTGCTAGGAGTAGGAACTTGCTCGAAAGCAATTCATTTTAAATGGTTAAAATCTCTGAATATACTCTAACAGTCATATCTTCCAGTTATTAAGGAATTGTTTAGTAAAAACAGGAAATGTCAACTCCATCGATGCTCTGCTGGAGAAGGAGGGACAATTTCCTC